TGAAGCTCTAATACTTTGGCCACCTGATGCGAAGAACTGACTCATTTGAAAAGACCCTGATGCTGGGAAAGATTGGAGGCGGGAGGAGAAGGGGATGACAGAGGATGAGATGGCTGGATGGCATCGCTGACTCAGCGGACATGTGTTTGAGTAAACTCTGGGAGTTGGTGATAGACAGGGAGGTCTGGCGTGCTGCAGTCCATGGGGTCACAAAGAGTCGGACACGACTGAGTGGCTGCAATGAACTGAGTGGAAGGACTTAAAGCAACATTATGAAAAGAGTTAAGATCCAGAGTCAGCTCTTGAGAACACCAGCCTCGATGCAGACGTACATGAAGGGTTTATCAGCGTGTGGCTCACCCGCGTGGTGCAAGTTTTCCCTGTTCTCCTTCATGGTTCTTCCCATCTGCAGACAGGGAGGGGAAATCCCTGCTGGGACAGAGCTCTGAGTGAGCAAGAGGAAAATGAGTCTGTCTGGAACTGGGTTCTGTGGCCCATGGAAGGTCCCCAAACTCCCACCCCGCAGAGGGGGAAACTGTGCCCCAGAAACAGAGGCCGGAGGGCTCTACGCTGGGGGCAGCTCACAGGAAGTGATGAAGCAGGAAATGTTAGTAGGTGAAAGTGTTAATCGCTCAGTGATGTCCGACTCTTTGTGACCTCATCAGCTGTGGCCCACCATGCTCCTCTGTCCGTGGGGATTCTCCAGGCAAGAATACTGGAGTGGGTAGCCATGCCCTCCTCCAGGGGGTCGTCCCAACCCAGAGATTGAATCTGGATCTCCCACATTGCAGGCAGATTCTTTACCATCTGAGCCACCAGGGAAGCCCTGAGTTCGTAAGCCACCACTGAAAAGAAACCAGAGTGTCCTCCGAGGGGCAGGTCCACTCAGTACTTCCTGGATGCTTAGTGAGACCCTGGGCCCGGAAGGAGCTGCACGCTGATGTGGGGGCGGGTAACTGGGCCGCTGGCGCCCCCTGGAGGTGCTGCGGCCTCATGTCCACCGGCATACAGTTGTCTGGGAAATGGGCCTTTCCCCACGAATCTTCCTTCATCCAGTAGATAGCGTCTTGACAACATGATGATAAAAACCTGGCAAAGAAAACAGGTAGGGAGTTCACTTGGGGTTTTCTCAGAAGTCTTTCCAAGTAATATTGCTATGAAAACCTGATGACTAAATGGACTTTCCTGGCAGTCCAGTGGTGAAGACTCCTTGCTCCCAATGTAGGGGGTCAGGTTCCATCCCTAGTCAGGGACTTAGATTCCATGTGCTGGAACTAAGACCCAGCACAGCCAAATAAATAAATAGAATAAAAGCAAATATTAAAAGGAAATGAACAACAACAACAAAAAATCACTGACAACTAAGAAGTTTGCAAATATCTCTTTATGACTGAAAGCACCTCACTCCTCTCGGGGATATTGGGCGGTTATCCGGCCATGTTCATCCTATTTCCCTCCCGCAGGTAACCTCCCTTGACTGGTTTTCCTTGTGTAAAGTTGGGGGGCGGGGGGGGGCGCAAGATCCAGGAGAACCCGAATTCACATGCAGGCATCTGCTCCCACTGTGCCTGGTATCACTTCTGTCCAGAGTGGATGGTAAATTGCACCGGGTTATAATGTAGACGCTCCAAGTCATGTTTTTTTGTGTTGTTTCATTTCTATCCTATGTCCTGCCTAGCTTAGCATTTCAAATCTGTCAAAAATTTCCTCTGAAAGTTAACTTTGCAGTTCCCATAAGTTCTCCTAGAGGATGCCAATGGGCTACATTGGATGGAAGATGAAGGCAGAAAAAGTCCTTTCTGGGACAGGTAAGATCCTAGGGAGGTCTGCTCCCACTTTCCACAGTGACACCACTGTAACTGCTAGAAGCATCACAGGACTTTAACAAGTGCCCTGCACCAGCAGTGTGGGTTGTGAAATGCACACTAAGCTTTCTTGCTGTGTCACTGGCACAAATGATGTCCCCAGCTGCCCCAAAATATTTTAGTCCTGTAGGGGGCCCAGTCATGGCTCCCCAAGGACATTTTCATGCCAGCCCTAGCACCTGTAAATGTGACCTTGTTTGGAAAAGTTTCAGGGCCTCGAGATGATGTTTCCTGGATAATTGGAGCTGACCCTGAATCCAATGGCGGCAGTCATTATAAGAGAAAGGCTGAAGGAAAATTCGGCTCAGACAGAAGAGGGGATACAGGGAGGAGAGTCCACGTGAGGATGGAAGCAGAGACTGGAGGATCCGGCCACAAGCCCATGAACACCTGGAGCCACGGAAGCTGGAAGAGGCGAGGAGGGAGTCTCCCCTGGACCCTCCCTGGACAGAGCACCCCTCAATCTTTGGACTGTTGGGCCCCAGAACTGTGAGCAAATAAATTTCTACTATTTCAAGCCATCAACTTGTAGTAATAAGTTAAAACAATCCTAGAAGACAAATATAGTCAGTAATACCGCACATTCTCAAGGGGGGTGAAATGGCCCCCAAGGGGGAGGAAATTGTTTCTTGGAAGGGGGCAAGGAATGCGTGAAGAAATCTGAGATACTGCAATGATTTGTCACCCTCCAAAGGACCACAGTATATAAGCAGATATGCAGTCTATCTGTGGGTGGTTTATTTGCTAAGTCGTGTCCGACTCTTGCAACCCCATGGACTGTAGCCCAGCTGGCGCCTCTGTCTATGAGATTTTCCAGGCAAGAATACTGGAGTGGGTTGCCATTTCCTTTTCCAGGAGATCTTTCTGACCCAGGCATCAAACCCAGTTCTCTGTAATGCAGACAGATTCTTTTCTAACTGAGCCACCATTATCCATGGCACTAAAAATGTATTCATGGGGAAACAAGAGGGACTAGACGCCTAGGGAAAAAAACAAAATCTAAACAAGGCTCCTTATGGAAATGATCATTTTTTCCCCACGTTAAAAATCACTTCCCTACACTTCTGCTGCACACACATAAGTGCTACTTTTAAGATTACATTGTAATCGAAAGCGGGATCCAGCCACTCGCCACTCAAAAGCCGTTAAAGAGGACGGGTTGGTGGAAAGTATGCTTTATTTTGAATGCCGGCAAAGGCAGGGAGATGCCCCCCAGTCCAGAAAATCATGGGGCTAGCACTTTTTTAGGCTGAGGAAGCGGCCTACATGTAGAAACAGCACAGTCAGCTTTGACAGGCATCTTGGAATTGGTCACCAGTGGTCTGACCAGCACCATCTTAAGTGTGTAAATCTTCAGTTCCATGGAAGGTTTGGTCCATTCCCTTCAGGCCAGTTCTCAGAACTGGGGCAGCTTCCGTCATGGCTACAGTCTGGTCATCGTGTGATAATAGTTGACTTCTCCACCTGGGGGACGTTTCAGTGTCTATAAGACACCTCCCAGGATGTGACTCAGAATGTTATCTCTAGCCCTTGAGAAGGAACTTCAGGTCCTCAACTATGCTTGATAACTACATTATTATTATTATTATTATTAGGGCTCCTTTGACTATTTCCCTTTGTTTCTGCGTTTTCTTTCTTCTCTGATGAAAATTCTTCTTTGGCTAAAGTTTCAGGACTTCCCTGGTGGCTCAGAGGGTAAAGCATCTTCCCACAATGTGGGAGACCCAGGTTCAACCCCTGGGTTGGGAAGATCCCCTGGAGAAGGGAAAGGCAACCCACTCCAGTGTTCTTGCCTGGAGAATTCCATGGACAGAGGAGCCTGGTGGGCTATCATCCACAAGATAGCAAAGCGTCAGACATGACTGACTGACTGGCCAACACTCCTACAGGCAAAAGGCAGGCTGAGGACCTGGGGGGCGGGTGGAGGGTGATGGCAAGGACCACCTGGTTATTCTCCACTTCAACATGAGGAAACATTAAGATGTTACAAAAGAGAGAGAAAAGCAAAATACAGCTGGAACCTAAATTTTTTTTTCCTCAGGGAAAGGCATTTTAGGCTCCTCCTTCTTTTCTAGAAGAGCCTCTTGATGAAAATGAAAGAGGAGAGTGAAAAAGTTGGCTTAAAGCTCAACATTCAGAAAACTAAGATCATGGTACTGGAAAAACCATAGCCTTGACTAGACGGACCTTTGTTGGCAAAGTAATGTGTTAGGTCTAAGCCAGTCATTGCATCCTGTATCCCATTGACTTGGGGATTAAACTTATACAGTGTTCAGGTTTTTTCTTTGCTGGCTTCCTAAGGAATCATTTTAGATATTTTTTCCCTAATCACATCCTTCTGCCCTCATGGAATTTTAATACCCCTGGTACAGTCATCCCTTGGTATTCATGGAACATTGGTTCTGGGATCTGCTACTGATTCCAAAATGAGTGAATGGATGTTCAAATCCCATGGCCCGTATCCAAGTCTAGACTGAATATGAGTTTATGTATTGCATGCATGGCTGTGCTTTATAAATAAATCACAGCCCCTGTCAAGAATCCACTTTTACCGCTTTGGGGGGGCAATATCATCCCATTAAGAATGTACAGTGGAAGGGATTGCAACACTTTTGATAATACTAGAAGGCTGGAAATCACCTAAATGTGTATCAGTGAGGACTACTTGAATGCACTGTGATACACCCAAGGAATACAGTACTATGTAGACACACAGACACACACAGGAGTCCTTCTATGTACTAGTAGATCTCCAAAATACATTAAGTAAAAAAGTGCAAGGAGCAGAACATTTACAAAATGGTGTCATTCTTATAAGAGCAGAGAGGAAGAATGTGTATCTGTATGTGAAAGTCGCTCAGTCGTGTCCAACTTTTGTGACCCCACTGACTATACAGTCCATGGAATTCTCCAGGCCAGAGTACTGGAGTGGGAGGTAGCCTTTCCCTTCTCCAGGAGATCTTCCCAACCCAGGGATCGAACCCAGGTCTCCTGCAATGCAGGTGGATTCCTTACCAGCTGAGCCACTAAAGTATCACAGAAAAGATTATTGCACTAGTGACACCGGTGTGCTTAAAGGGAAGAAAACAGAGTGGCCCAGATGAGGGACCAACTTTTGACTGTGTGCCCTGAACCATGTCACTGCGCTGCCTGTTCAAATGTTAAATTAAAAGTTAAAAAAAAATCTGAACGTTAAGTTAGCATTTATGCTTTTTGGCGTATCTTCTTAAAATATTGGTGCTAGTAGAATCAGTCGTGTTTCACTTTCACGTCACCAGCTGAAAGATGCTCTCATGAGCAGGATTTAAAGACACGATAGACGAGCAAGTGGCTTTTGCCTCCGTTTTCTGCTTCTACAACACTGGACTGGGTTTTTTTACCACCACGGGGTTTTCCATAATACCTCCACGACTGGAAGCAAACTCTGCATGGCACTGAAAACAGAACACCCTGGACTCCCCGTTTTCCTCTCTCCTCAAGCCCTCGGTAACTCCCGCGTAGCCGCATGTGGGCTACCTCCACTGTGGTTTCTACACTGCCTTTTCACACCAGCCACACTTAACGTCTTCTTCAGGCAAAGGATCCTTGCCCAGTTTGGTGGATTTCCTATGGCTAAAATTTCCCCCGAACGTTCCTGCCTTCGGTGACTCATTTCCTAAGCATGGAGGAGCGTAAGGCCGTCAGGAGCCCTTTACGTGATCCGTTTCCTGGGTGTCCCCCCTTTCTGTCATTAAGGCTTCACCCACTTGGACGATGCCTCATTAAACTCTTTAAATGTCGTCATCAGTTTGCACCAACAAGGACTGAGTGAGTGCTGGCTGTGCGCTCACGGCCTCCGCACTGTTCCCACTGGCTGTAATCCAGAAGCAGCTGCCAGGGGCATTCTGCTGATGATTAACTTGCACAGAATCGTGGACACGCACACAGACCATGGCGAATCACTGACATCCTTTCCACAGGGTGTGGGCGCACTGTGAATATGGCAGCAGGTCTGCAGCGGTTAAGTCAACAGTGGTGATGTCCTTGCACTAGCATGGTCACCTTCCAATTCGATTCAGTTCCGTTCAGTCGCTCAGTTGTGTCCGACTCTTCACGACCCCATGGACTGCAGCACACCAGACTTCCCTGTCCATGACCAACTCCTAGAGCTTGCTCAAACTCACATCCATCGAATCGGTGATGCCATCCAACCATCTCATCCTCTGTCGTCCCCTTCTCCTCCTGCCTTCAATCTTTCCCAGCATCAGGGTCTTTTCCAGTGAGTCAGATCTTCACATCAGGTGGCCAAAGTGTTGGAGTTTTAGCTTCATCATCAGTCCTTCCAATGAACACTCGGGACTGATTTCCTTTAGGATTGACTGGCTGGATCTCCTTGTAGTCCAAGGGACTCTCAAGAGCCTTCTCCAACACCGCAGTTCAAAAGCATCAATTCTTTGGCCCTCAGCTTTCTTTATAGTCCAACTCTCACATCCATACAGGCTACTGGAAAAACTATAACCTTGACTAGATGGACCTTTGTTGGCAAAGTAATGTCTCTGCTTTTTAATATGCTGTCTAGGTTGGTCATAACTTTCCTTCCATTAATTCATCAGTATTCAATTTTTGAATGCTTGCAAGTAAGATCTTCAGAGATAACTCACACCTTAGGTTTGGTGGAAGGAGCCAGACTTCCCTCTGGTCAGTGTGGACTGGCCAAGAGTGGGGATGAGAGCTGAAGACCTGTGGGTGGAAGATGGGAGGTGGCCCTTCCTACTGAGGTGCTGGGCTGTGTGGGGGTTTCCAGGAGCTGATAAGAAGGGAGGGATCAAAGGGGTGTGCAGGGGCTGCAGTTAGAGGGGCAGCTGACCTCTGGGGGTCTCTCTTTCCAAAGACATTTTTTTCATTTTTCAGCCACCTCCAGTAGTATGCAGGACCTCAGTTCCCCAACCAGGAATCAAGCCTGTGCCCCTTGCATGAGGCCCATGGAGTCTTAATTACTGGACTGCCAGGGAGGTCTTCAAAGACAATTTTGGTCCAGTTCATCATTGGTCATCATTTTGCCCTCCAGATAAAAGAGCTAGTTGTACATTTAGCAAGTGAAAGTCTTCCATTCCTTGGATGCTTATGAGAGCTTGTTCAGATTTCCAAACCAAAGCATAATTCAATTAAAATGTGTATGTTTATCTTTGAGATTCATGCTGGAAGTAATAAAAGAGATAGTTATTATGAGGGTCTGGGGTAGGTCTCAGAATCAATACAAAAGCTGAAAATACAGGCAGCTCCCATGGTCTGGCTCAGGGTCCCCAGGCTCTGGGACTTAATTCATGTTGATCTGAGGTGGGACTGATGTAATAATAACAGAAGTAAAGTGCACAATAAATGTGATGTGCTTGAATCATCCTGAAACCATCCCTGCTTCCCCACGTCCATGGAAAAAGTGTCTTTCACGAAAGCGGTCCCTGGTACCAAAAAGGTTGGGGTCTTCTGGGATTGAAAATGTGAGCCCCACTGTTGGAGATGATTCAAATCTCTAGGCTGAGCCCTCAACCAGGGCGGGCAGGGCACTGGATTGAGAGCCTCACTAAAGAC